AAAAAAAAAAAAAAAGTTTTTAGTAATGCAAAGTCATCAATCCATTATTTAATAATTTATGGCTTATTGTTTTTTTTTAATTGAGCTGCATTAAAATAAATAAATAAATAAGAATGGTTAATAGTGTAACAATAATGATGCACGATTATATCAGATGGGATTTTTTTTTTCATTCATTCACACAAATTTCACTACATTCACCAGTGAATAATTTACATTTCGCAAAACAGTGAAAAATTGCAAATATTAAGAGGAACAAATGTGCTTCTAAACTGAATTCATCTTCACATTTTGTGTGCATTTTCAAGACAAAAAAGGTGTACTGTTTATTGCTGATTTAAGCTAAATCAGCAGGCGTTCTCGAAGTCATCCGCGCTTGCGTCGCTCCACTCCATCTTGGCGAGGCGTTTGAGGAAGTTTCTGGCTTTGGGAATCTGCTTTAGCTGAACGAAACCTTGAGCCGTCATGAGCAAAGACGCCTCCAACATCACCTGCAGACAGACAGAGCACTTCACTGATAAAATCCTGACATCAGCTGACTTATACTTCTGTTTTTATAACACAAATATATGTGTGTGACCTGCAATGTAATCGGAAGAGCCTTCATCATCGGTTGTCAAGTTTTAAATGACACTGTGGAGTCCTTAGATAATAAACAACATTGTGCTTGTCTTTTTATTGACTTATCAAAGGCCTTTGATACTGTGGACCATGACATATTATTAAATAGGTTTAGATGGGTAGGACTATCAGAAAATGCTAATTTATGGTTCATTGCTTAAATGTGTAAAGATGGAACACTGGATATTACAATTGTCTTGCAAGCATTTTATAACTAATAAAATCTCAGTGGCTGTAAATCACACACACGTTAGGTTTCTGTCCACAGACTTTTATTGAAAATAATCAGATAGAAAGTGTAATTTTAGCCCAAAGCTGAGTAAAGCAAAGCAAAAATCATTGTATAACTCGCTCAAACTGTTCACAAATAACCCTCTAAATATTTTTATCTGAATGTATCTTTGTTGTTCAAACAACAAATACAAAATACAAAATGTACACATAATAATTTATTGAAAAAAGCTTGTCTTTTTATTGACTTATCAAAGGCCTTTGATACTGTGGACCATGACATATTATTAAATAGGTTTAGATGGGTAGGACTATCAGAAAATGCTAATTTATGGTTCATTGCTTAAATGTGTAAAGATGGAAGGTGTTCGGTCAGATCCTTTGGAGATTGTTAAGGGTGTCCCACAAGGATCTGTGTTGGGGCCGTTATTATTTAGTATATATATAAATAAACTGCCCAGATTTTAATATTGATAATGCAAGATTCAATTTTTTATGCAGATGATACTATCATTTATTGCTCAGACCCTCTAAGCAACAATCTGTGGCTTCTTTACGGTCTGCTTTTGATATTATCCAAAATAAGGTCTTAAATGTAAAAAAAAACTAAATGTATGTAATTTTCAAATTCTAAAACTTCTTCTGAAAACTCTATTGTTCTTCATTGTCAGAGTACAAATACTTGGGTATTATTGTCGATAACACACTACGTTTTGGTTCACACATTAAGTATTTGAGGAAAAATTTAAAGAAAAAGTTAGGGTTTTACTAGTTATTAGTATTGTATGTTGCAACTATGCTGTTTATTTGGCTGCATATCTTGGCCAGGACACTCCTGTAAAAACCATTTATTATCTGGTTAAATACAGGTAATATATCATTTTACCATCATAATCATCAAGAGTATTATCATAAACACGTGTAAACATGGAAAATACGGACATAATAAAGTCACACTTTAGCCTACCTTCCATCAGAGTTGCAAAAGCGTTGAAGAACCGGAGCACTGGATCATTATCGTACAACTTTAAATTCTTCACAGCTGTATTTATGGCATGTCTGTAGTATTTCTCCCTCATGTAGGCTAATAAATAATTAACGGCTGTTAAAACATAAGTCATATTAACGTTAACTGTTTTTTTTTTAATGTATAATATGACAAAAACGATTAAATACTCACCAAACACGTTTTATCGTGTTCTGACATATTTCATCCGGATAATTAAACTAAATCAACAACTTCATCGCAAGTAAACGGCCTCAAACTGCACCTGAGGATTTAGCGAACACCTGCGCAGGAATAATAATCACACACAGACAAGCGGCGCTTGTGTTATTGATCCCTAGCGATCTTCTGAAATTGATTACTCACGTCTGTTTAAACCAAGCGGCAACCTCCCGCTCTCTCTCGTCAAGCCAACACGGAAGAGACTTAAACTGTAATTCATCAACTGGCCGCTAGAGGCTGGCTGCAAAAGGGAGTCAGTCCCATAGACTCCCCATGTTCAAATGCCCAACTTTACAGCAGAAAAAAACATGCTGAAGCTGCTGGTGTATAACACACGGAGGGAAGCCTGGGAAGGTGCACTTCAGCAGAACTGTCTTCAGTCATTATAATGCAGAGTTATAACACAGTTCAGCTGCACTTTACTGATGCCTTCTCATTTTACTTTGAAACTTGTTCCGATATTGCTGATATTGTCATGCACATAATTATATATATATATATAAATAAATATAAAATAATA